TCAAGAGAGAGTGTTTCTAGAAAGAAATTCAAATGTGATAAAATTGAAGGAAAATATGCCAGTTTGGAACGCAAAATCCATTCCTTCCACCTGTGGCGCCCCTGAGCCATCCACTCCCTGGCCTCTGAAGCAGTGTTGCATACCTTTCTTCTGCAGGGCAGTAAGAGCTTGGCACAACTCAAATCCTAGAGTGAGTTTTTATGGCGGGCAGCAATGTTGCTACCTACAAACTGCCTACTTTTAACAAGAAACCAATGAACTATGACAGGCATGGAAAGCCCTCTGTGCCACTTGCAAAACTCCCATTGAAATAAGTAGGTTTTTCTGTCTTGAGAGATCTATAGGTGGCCCCGATTTTCAGCTTGAACTACCTCTGCTTCCAGCTTTGAAGAGATTTCAGATCCAGGTCCGAACTTTTGGCTTAGGCCTATTCCTAAACAGAAAAGCTGATGCAGCCTTAACCTATGTAGTCATATGTGCCGGAGGGATGGGGAGGTGCTAAGGAGAGGATCATATTTTGCACTTGTAGCCGTCAGTATCTTTTGAGCGATGTGATGGCTCCAGCACCATCCTTCGTTTCCCACTTTGGATCCTTTTGTCAAACATCCCTTTACTTTATTTTCTGAGTGGATAAGTTGTTAAAATTAACATAGGAAAACACTAGAAACACATGAAAAATATGAGGTGGACTGGGGTGGGTGGGAGCACCTTAAATTTGGAAGCATGTGTGATTGCGGTGCATAGTTATGTCTCTTAAAGGTGGCAGACACCCACTGGCAAAGACAACCTGCGAAGCATGCGAGAGGACAGTTGTCAAGGTAACTTGCATTGTGTGACTATGTAGAGATACCGCCGTAAACAGACTTACAAAACTAATGGAAGGTGACAGTGCCTCTAACGGGCGTGTTACTGCTGACATGGGTGTTAGCGATGGAATGACAAAAGGGGACGAAAACTGTCACGTGTATCATAGGGACTGTTCTCCAGAGGCAGAGCCCTCCACACGTGTTTGCAGTATGTTTTGGCCGGTGGAAACATTTGTTTCATTCATCAGCATGAATTTACTGCTGGTGAAAGGTGCTGGATGGGTTGCCCTGGAACTTGAAGTCCTTGATTACATGATGTATAATACAGATATTGGCCATGTTAGGGTCTCCTGTGTTCAAGGAATGGAGTGAGCTGATGCGAGCTGAAAAGGCCAAACCAGCGTTTCTCCATCAATTTGCTGCAGTATTTAAGCTTTCACTTGCGGAGGGGGGGAGGAATCTAGCCTTAGCTAAAATTTCCAAGGGGAGCTGAAAAAGTGGAGTCTTCCTGAGTCTGCAGAACATTTCATCTCAAAGGGATGTTAACTCCCAGCCCTGACATGAGCATGCTGTTGTCATCAGTTATTGTATAGCTGAGCAGAGCAAGAGGACCTGCCTGACTTTTCTCCCCCATCTAACTGAAGTTCAGTGGGGCTACAGCAGGGGTGGGCAATTATTTCAGGCGGAGGGCTGCTTACCCAGTTTTGGCAGGCTGTGGAGGGCCTCATGGGTAGCCCCGCCCCTTGACAGGAGCCCCACCCCCTGGTCACCATCTTGGGACCAATGTCCCAGGGCCAGCACTGGTGGGGCCTGAAGCAGGGCGTAGGCTGGCAGGGGTCTGTGGAGCCGGGCTGGGCTGCACCAGCAGGGAGAGGGGGGAGCTGGCCCAGCTCCATAGAGCCCCTGCTGGCCAGGACCCTGGACTCCTGCTGCCCTGCTCTGGGCCCTGCCAGTGCTGGCCCCGGACACCAGTGCGGGCCCCGTGCTCCCGCTGTCTCCCTGCCCACTCACTCCCAGTCCCCCGAGACCCGCAGTACAGGCAGGGGCCAGTGCACAGCCCCGACCCCCTGATTGCCGGCAGGGAAGAAGCTGGTGCTGAGCGTGGGGAAAAGCGGCCCCTTGCCCGCCCCATGGCCAGCACTCCCTGCTGCAGGTTCTTCTAGCCCATGCAGGGCTGTCTGGAGCAGGCATAGGCAGCTCCACATGGGCTGCAAGTGGCTGCAGCATGGGGCGAATGAGGGGCTACTTTTCCCCACGCTCAGCACCATCTTGTAACCCGGCCCTGCTGCCAGCCTGGGCCCCGCGCTGGCTGTGGGCTCGCCCATCAGGGCTGCGTGCGGCGGCAGTGGCTGCCGCCTCGCCCGCCC